GAGATGTAGGGAAAAAGTAGAGGGATGTATCGGTGTGGGAGAGAGAGAGAGTTGTGTTTGAGCAGTGATGTAGAAAGATGGGTCACAGAGGGGAGAGTGAAGGACACATAAAGGTGTGGCAAAAAAAAGGGAATAAACAGGGGAGGTGGAGAAAGGAAGGAAAGGAGACGGGGGAGAAGCTCTTAGCGATGTTTGGAGCAGTGCGATGAGAGTCCACAGAGGGAGGAGGTTGGAGTGCAGGAAAAGGGTCGACAAAGTTTGGCGATGAAGGTCCCTCTAACCTTACTGAAGAAGTCATTCTTGCCCTAACTAAGTTGTTTTGGTGTCTGTGTTTTGTGTAATAATAACTATATCTCCATGGCAACTGTGCAAACTCAATCCCCTGATAAAGGCCACGAGTTATGATTGAAGGCCTGCGGTGGGAACTTGTTTATTTTTCGTCAAGCTTTTCCAAAGTCAAAAAGGGAACTCTCAAGCTTAGTTTTTTTTTTTTTAAATCCTTCCAAAAATCAATGATAACACATTATCAAGTGTGTATTTACAGCATTAAGTGACAGAAAAACACCAAGTTAAGAGCTAAAGTGGTGGTCAATTCCATTCACAGCAAGCGTGTGAAGAAGTGCAGATGTTTAAACACTTAATCTAATGGCCCAATATCTACATATTGATTCCATAGTAAAGACACAGTAAATCTCTGTAGATCCTTTATGCACGGACCTGCCACACACACTTACTTAGTTTCCCTCAAGATCGAAGAAAGAAAAGCTGTCGTGTCAAAGTTCATTGTTTTAATCACTTTAGGTCTCTGCTCACTTACAAGCGATGCTCATTGTCTGAAGTTTCATCGAAAGTTTGTTCAAAAATGTCAAATTATTGGATTTGATTCAACTTTTTCACAACTTTTTTTTGTTAAGTCATGCTTGCATTGTTTTTGTGTGTCGTTTCCTTCAATAATGAGAAATTATTAATCAAACTTACTGTTTTTTTTTTTTTTTAGAAACACTCAAAAAGCATAACACCACATTATATAACGTAACATAATTGTTAATTAAATACTATTAACAGTGTATAATATGCTGGACTTTGAGCTAGCTTAAACATTTGTTAACCTTTAACTGGTTCCACACACACCGTTTTATGTTGTTGGAGCGCAGGAATCAATGCGTCTGCACATCGGGAGGAGAAACGTTTTACAATCAGCTGCTTCCTTTGTTATTTACTTTACTTATTAACACAGCGTCAGTGTGGCAAGGCTCCAGCTGCTTCCCCCAGCTTTTGGCTCCCAATTTTCAGGAAAAGAAATTACATCTTTGAAACTTTCCAAGCACAGAAGGAGAGCCCCACGCTGCACCTTCGAATTAAACATCGATACCAAATTAACTTTGCTACAGTTTGCTCTGCTGTGATTTGGGGACCATTTCAGCACTGCAGAGGTAATCTGACAAGAACCACATTGCACCCACTTAAAAAGACAAAATCATATCTGCATCACTGCGTCATACATTCCCGTCCCTGTAGGCATAAGGAGCTTGTGTGAGTGAATGTGTTTGTACATCGGCTGCAGTAGTTTAATTTTTTACAGGAAGGGAAATGCTAACCCAACAAACCGTCTGCTTGGAGGACTAATATTTCCTATGAGCTTATTATAACTCTCAGATCCATGTTCCATACTCATAACGTTTAGTCTTAATGACATTCTCATTTAATAAACGTCCCACGCTGTTGCTGAGTGGTAGTACGTATTAGTGAAACAACCTTCTTATGATTATTAAGAGAGAGAACTGAGCAGTTAGTGATCAGTGCGACGGCAAAGAGTAATCTTTAAGCAGTGGTAGAGTTGGAGTAGCAAGAGGGCTTCTGGGAAGACGGACACAGGCACAGATGCTAAACACACACACACACACACACACACAAACACTTGATGAATTGAAGTGGTCGATAAATTACATTACATAAGAGCATTTAGAGGACCGCACAAAGAGTATTGTAGCGACTCTGGCATCACACACACACACACACACACAGTAACTTCTTTGCTGAGTTTACGGTAAGATAGAACCAAAACAATTAATCATTTGATTGATTAGTCAGATGACAGAAAAGTAATCGTCAAGAACATTGATAAATGTTAATTTGTTTAAATAATTCATGAAGAACATTTGCAGTTTCCAATGGTCCGAATTCAAGGATTTGCTACTTTTCCCCATTTTATATAATTTTGAAGGATTTATTAAATGGAATATCTGAATTTAGACTGTTAGTCAAACAAAACGAGCAAAAACAAACACAGTGATGGTTCACTCTTCTGGGACATTTAACTATTAATCAAACAATAAAGTAACACTGTTTCATGGGACATCATAACTCCACTACATGTCTGCAAAAGGTATGACTCACCCAAAACATTTCTCTTAGTCAGTCATTAAAATGTCCAATGCCACCAAAATGAAAAATAGTTTTGTCATCGTGTGAGCCGTCTTTCTTGTTTACACGGACTGCTTACTGTTCTATACAAGAATGACAGTTTTGTTTAACTGAATGCTTGTGAGGATCGAGATTTTTAGATTCTAGTTTACTGGGAAAAGTACTTTTAAGTAATACTGTACAATACTCTAGTACACAGACAAATTATATGCACATGTGTATGTATACAGTTAAATTTGCCAGAAAATGACATCCATGCCAAACAGCAACAACAAAACCCTGCAACAAAGAACAAAACCTCTGATGCAGTAATAAAAAAAGTCGACCTCCTCACCTTCTGTAAATCCATGTTGTAGATATTCATGCGATGGCTCAAACAGTGAAAGAATTCCAGTAGTTGTGAAAACTATTTCTCTTAGAATCAACTCATCAGTTTTGATCAGCCACATGCAAGTGATTGTTGTGCAGACTGTAGACAACTGTACTGACTCTTTTTGCACACATGTGAGAAAACACATGCTATTTGCTTGAATGAAAGAGAAATTCAAATCTGTTATGAACAACAAACTAATTGCTCACAGACTTGAACTCATTATTTTTGGAAGAAATAATTGTCATTCAAGAATTGAGCCAAGGCGAAAGAGAAAAACTGTAACCAGCAGGTTGATCAATAATGAAAATAATCCCTAGTTAGAGCCAAAATGTATTTATCAAAGTACCTGTTATTTCATTAGTGCTCTGATTTCTTCTTGTTATGACTCAGCAAGCACCTGCAGACATATTTTGTCCTGCAATTTAATCAGTTTCTCTGAAGCGATGCCAGCAACAATGTGCAAAACAAATCGCAGGTAAATGAAAGGTTTATAGATATAACCCAGTTTTGAGACCAGGCCAAGTGTGCCATGAAAGCAGACACCAGGCTGGATCAGCTTGGCCCCCGAACCGAAAAACATGTTTGGCCTTATTGGAAAAAAACGCTATCTGTTTGTAGTAGCAGCTCGCCCGCTGATGGAGGCTTCCAGATTTACAGCACCATAAATGGCTTAAGTGCAATCTGCTTGTGGGCGTTTTTTGTACAGTAATAAACACACAGACGAGCTTCCGTGTCCACATGCACCGGGAGCAAGTGCCGGCTGGATGTGCTCCACTGGCAGCGGACGGGCGATCAGCAGCGTGGCCTCGGCGATGGCACCCAGAGTAATATTATGGAAATACAGCCACATTTTCTGCCTCATAATGGTGAGCGGGCGGGAGGACATAAAGCACCCGGCGCCCATTGATGCTATGAGCACTGTGAGGACAATGAAGCTCATTTAAATAAGGTGACAAAGTTGGCCGGCAGTTCATTGTCAGCTGGGACACCACAGGTTCCTTTCATGCCTCCCATTCAGCCCGGGACACAAAGTTAATTTAGTCTTGGCCGGCGACCCAAACACAATAAACCACACTGATGCTATTGTCTCCTGACTTACTGAAGGAGCCGAAACATTTTGGGGAGCAGCTTTAAAAAAAGACAGTCTCCCAGGCTGTTTTCATGCTGCAGTCAGTTCCCAGATACAATAAGCTAACATGCAAAATACCCCCTTGATATTGATATTCATCCTCTTTACTGACAATTATGCAACACACACTCACATGTATTCCTCTCTTGTGCATGTGTTAATAGACCTACATGTACACGCCACAACCAACAATGATGTTGTTGATTTCATTTGGCTCCCATGAGGTTATTCAGAGAGAGGGAGAGGCCAATATCTACTTACCATCCCGTGTGTGTGTGTGTGTGTGTGTGTGTGTGTGTGTGTGTGTGTGTGTGTGTGTGTGTG